ATGTTGTATACAGTCATAGGTATAGTGTTAATGTTCTATACAGTCAGAGGTATAAATTTAATGTTGTATACAGTCATAGGTATAGTGTTAATGTTGTATACAGTCAGAGGTATAGTGTTAATATTGTATACAGTCATAGGTATAGTGTTAATGTTGTATACAGTCAGAGGTATAGAGTTAATGTTGTATACAGTCAGAAGTATGGTGTTAATGTTGTAGAGTGACACAGTCAGAGGTATAGTGTTAATGTTGTAGAGTGACACAGTCAGAAGTATAGTGTTAATGTTGTAGAGTGACACAGTCAGTGGTATAGTGTCAATGTTGTAGAGGGACACAGTCAGAGGTAAAGTGTTAATGTTGTGTTAATGTTGTAGAGACACACAGAGGTATAGTCAGAGGTATAGTGTTAATGTTGTAGAGTGACACAGTCAGAGGTATAGTGTTAATGTTGTAGAGTGACACAGTCAGAGGTATAGTGTTAATGTTGTAGAGTGACACAGTCAGAGGTATAGTGTTAATGTTGTAGAGTGACACAGTCAGAGGTATAGTGTTAATGTTGTAGAGTGACACAGTCAGAGGTATAGTGTTAATGTTGTAGAGTGACACAGTCAGAGGTATAGTGTTAATGTTGTAGAGTGACACAGTCAGAGGTATAGTGTTAATGTTGTAGAGTGACACAGTCAGAGGTAGTGTTAATGTATGAGTCAGAGGTTAGTGTTAATGTTGTAGAGTGACACAGTCAGAGGTATAGTGTTAATGTTGTAGAGTGACACAGTCAGAGGTATAGGTAATGTTGTAGAGTGACACAGTCAGAGGTATAGTGTTAATGTTGTAGAGTGACACAGTCAGTGGGTATAGTGTTAATGTTGTAGAGTGACACAGTCAGAGGTATAGTGTTAATGTTGTAGAGTAGAGTGACACAGTCAGAGGTATAGTGTTAATGTTGTAGAGTGACACAGTCAGAGGTATAGTGTTAATGTTGTAGAGTGACACAGTCAGAGGTATAGTGTTAATGTTGTAGAGTGACACAGTCAGAGGTATAGTGTTAGTTGTAGAGTGACACAGTAGGTATAGTGTTAATGTTGTAGACAGTGACACAGTCAGAGGTATAGTGTTAATGTTGTAGAGTGACACAGTCACAGAGTGACACAATATAGCGTTAATGGTACACAGTCAGTGAGTTAATGTGACGCAGTGAGAGGTATATCGTTGATGTTGTAGAGTGACACAGTCAGAGGTATAGTGTTAATGTTGTAGAGTGACACAGTCAGTCAGGTATAGTGTTAATGTAATGTTGTAGAGTGACACAGTCAGAGGTATAGTGTTAATGTTGTAGAGTGACACAGTCAGAGGTATAGTGTAATGTTGTCAGTTGTAGTGACACAGTCAGAGGTATAGTGTTAATGTTGTAGAGTGACACAGTCAGTATAGAGTTAATGTTGTAGAGTGACACAGTCAGAGGTATAGTGTTAATGTTGTAGAGTGACACAGTCAGAGGTATAGTGTTAATGTTGTAGAGTGACACAGTCAGAGGTATAGTGTTAATGTTGTAGAATGTGACACAGTCAGAGGTATAGTGTTAATGTTGTAGAGTGACACAGTCAGAGGTATAGTGTTAATGTTGTAGAGTGACACAGTCAGAGGTATAGTGTTAATGTTGTAGAGTGACACAGTCAGAGGTATAGTGTTAATGTTGTAGAGTGACACAGTCAGAGGTATAGTGTTAATGTTGTAGAGTGACACAGTCAGAGGTATAGTGTTAATGTTGTAGAGTGACACAGTCAGAGGTATAGTGTTAATGTTGTAGAGTGACACAGTCAGAGGTATAGTGTTAATGTTGTAGAGTGACACAGTCAGAGGTATAGTGTTAATGTTGTAGAGTGACACAGTCAGAGGTATAGTGTTAATGTTGTATGTGACACAGTCAGACACAGTCAATGTTGTAGAGTAGAGGTATAGTGTTAATGTGTAGAGTTGACACAGTCAGAGGTATAGTGTTAATGTTGTAATGTCAGAGGTATAGTTTTAATGTTGTACACAGTCAGAGTGTATAGTTATGTTAATGTTGTAGAGTGTTAATGTTGTAGACACAGTCAGAGGTATAGTGTTAATGTTGTAGAGTGACACAGTCAGAGGTATAGTGTTAATGTTGTAGAGTGACACAGTCAGAGGTATAGTGTTAATGTTGTAGAGTGACACAGTCAGAGGTATAGTGTTAATGTTGTAGAGTGACACAGTCAGAGGTATAGTTTAGTGTTCAGATGTATAGTGTAATGTTGTAGAGTGACACAGTCAGAGGTATAGTGTTAATGTTGTAGAGTGACACAGTCAGAGGTATAGTGTTAATGTTGTAGAGTGACACAGTCATAGAGTATAGTAGAAGTTAATGTTAGAGGTATAGTGTTAATGTTGTAGAGTGACACAGAGTGACACAGTCAGAGGTATAGTGTTAATGTTGTAGAATGACACAGTGAGAGGTATATCGTTAGGGTTGCACACTGTACCCTCGAATATTTATCTCAATTGACAATCACATGAACACACACACATGAACACACACACACACACACACACACACAATATTGGAGTTGACTAATCAACATATTTGTTGCTCAAACCTCAAATCTACTCGACATAATATACTACTCCACCTTTATTAGGGATCATACCTTGATTTAAGATTTTCTTGTTCCCCAGTAAATGCTAATCATTAAACGATGTCCACAAAGCAAGGGTATAAACAGATAAAGACAGTTTAGTAAGGCCATGCAGACTGTACCGATGATTTGATGATGAAACAGTGAAATGTTTCCAATGAAGTCATAATGACTGCACTTAGAAATGCTCTCTCTTCACACGCGGTGGACAGCGGTATCGATAACGCATCGCTATAAAGGGGGGTAACTCGGGTATGTCAGACATTTGACTGGATGTGTGTACGTGTGAGGTCATCCCACCCCATACATTCTGGGTATGTGCTTTTCTATCGAAGCGGAGGAGTTACTCACTTTATTATAATGTAGATTACGAAAATACTTTATGTTTTGTTTTTGTTACCGTACTTTCAAAATGGAGTTTATAGCCATACAAACACGGAAGTGCTCGTCTTCTGTGGGCTGGTTAAATCTGCCATTCACCACCTATTGTGTGAAGCGTCTTTTCTGGTGAGATTGCACAATGACACTGTACAACAAATTTGCTAGGTGATCAAATTATTCGGTCGGAATTTGGATTGGACAGGTTTCGGATAGTGCGGATGATGTATTTGTTTGTCGGTCTGTACAACAGCTAATTAAGGTTCAGAGGTCCATGGGTATTCTTGGTTAGAACTGTTCCCGATCAGCCTGTGAATGTAGACAGAGGATCGGGACATCAGGCTTAGTGGTTCGGGTGATTGCATTTCATTGATCCCGACGGTGTGGACCGATGCTGACAGTATCAATCATCTGATTGTCTGGCCCAGACTCGATCATTCATTCATTCCTTTATTCATTCATTCATTCATTTATTTATTCATTCATTCATTCATTCATTCATTTATTAATTCAATCATTTATTTATTATTCATTTATTCATTCATTCATTTATTTATTTATTATTCATTTATTTATTCTCGAATATTACTAAATGTGACGTTAGACAACCAAGCAAACAAACAAACAAACAAACAAAGGCTGAAAGACCTAAATATACATAACATACACCAGATATGTCACGGTGGAAGTCCCGTTCTGTATACATCAGCAAGAATATATTTTTTATTTAACATCTCTGGAAACACAAAGGAACTTATTAAGTAAACACTGCCTGCACCCAAGTCGTGTTCTGTGCCGAGGTGTCGGTCTTATCAAGTTTGAAGAGTTCATACTGAAAGTTTCACTGACTATTACACCGTTCGTATTGACCGAGTTGCCCTATATATTTATATTTATTTGAATATTGAATGTTTACGTGTCTATTTTGAGTCATGTGCGTAGTGATATAAAACAACGCGTATTTGGTATTGTTAAACGTAACCACTTAAGCTACTGTTAAAAACTGAGAAAATATGATTTTCATAAGCTTGAAGGACTAATATCTACCTTAAACAAAAAATCAACCCGTACACCTGTCAAAAATGTTAACACAGTTTTCAGGATGTTACATCCAAATTAGACATTTATACGACAATATATATTGACAACTGTCAATGCCTCAGCTAAAGAATGATATACAATAAAATAGAACGCCAAAGAAAACTTCACGGCCAGCTTATTCATGACAAATAGTATAGATATATATAACCGTGGCATCACCTAACACCTCAGCCATGCATGGAAGATTCCGTAGAAGTTTAACGGTTATTAATTCGATGCTTGATTTTCTGAATACGAAACAGAAGCACTAAAATAGTGGCACTTTTATTTCCTATCGACCTGCGATCTGCTTCATTCAAGTGTATTATAGCCATTTAAGGTATGTAAACAGCTTTAATTGTGAGAGAAAGCTGAGAAGTACTTGCATCCATGTGTGTCGAGAAGCATGTTACATTTCATGGAGATTCTTGACTGAGTGTGACACGTCCACATTCGCGAGGGACTCTGTCCTCGGCAAAATTACATCTGTCACAGATTACTATCGTCTGCGCTTGACTTGCCTCGGAGATCCTGCCCTCTAGCGGCCGCGCGTGTCTCGTGCTGCCTCCCACCACCAGCCAATGAACGCATAGCTCCGTCAAGATGGGGCACACGGGACAGTGCGACTGAATATAAAACACTTCTAAGTACTAACACACGGTTTCTTATGTCGAAGATTTTGTGACATATCACTGTCGTAATTCAGGAGAAATTTGTGTAATTTTCTGTCAAGATATGACCCTGTTCTAGCGAACTAGAGAAGAAAGTTTGGAAGTTTTCTCGTTCTGTGACGTTTCGTGTTATGTCAAAGAGATTAGCGAACCTGCTGTTGGGCAGGTAAAGAAAATCCGTACTTACTATTTCATAACACGAACATCGAGGAACATGATGAAACCGATTGTACCCACAGCGAAGAGGGCGAGGCATGGTTTTAGTATAGAGTCACTCATCGGATCTGATGGGAGACGGTCAGAATCCCCTGGGGTGGTGAGAGAAAAGATCCACCCTGGGGAATCCGAACTCGGAGGCAGAGTCCCTCCGCTCCACCCAACGCTGCAGTCACCGTTAAGAGGAAGTTTTTTCAGTGAAAACCCAAACGAACTATTAGCTCTGAGGTCTGCCTGGGGGCTCGTATCCCCACCCCTCGGAGGATTCGGTCAGCTGGGGCAAGGTGGATTTGGCCATCCCCAGGGTCTTCCCTTCAACCCATCTCTGTTTGCGGGGGGTCGAGATCCCTTCCAGCTCTACCCGTGGCTCCTGACCCGACATGGTCACTGCGTCTCATACCCATTTCCAGGTACGTCTTTCATTAAGTCTTCATATTTATATTAGATATATATTCATGATAACTACGTTTATACCCACCATTTAACCTCTATATGAAGCTCATGGATAGCCCAAAGGCTTCAAAACCCATCCTTATGATTCCTCGATTGAGGTGTAATAAACCATCAAAATTAGATTCAGTTTATATTATATCATTTTAACTACATTCTTTTCTTTAATTTCTATTGCTAAATATTTCATAAAATCTTTCTCTTAAATCCAATGTCTGACAAATCATGCTTCATCAATGTGTTCAAGCTCCATGTATCGATTTAACCAGCAGATAATGTTTCAAGACAGAAATTTGACCGAAGTTAATTATCGCTGACCAGAGAATTCTGCTGAATCAATAAGTCAAATATTTGAATCTGCACTGTGCTAGTATTGTTAAACGCCTTAATGAGGGAGATGTTTTCTATAAATACATTAAGTTTTTGTTCAAGTTCTGTAACGATAGATTTTCAATTTGCAGGCGACATGAAACCTCTCTACAAGCGATACTGTAATAGCCCATTGATTGGAATCAGTAGCACACGAGCCCAATTGACTACCTTTTGTACTTCTCGTTTTCTCTCCCTCAAGACAACAGAGCTGCACCATCGAGTGCAGCAGCGTTTTAGCTCTGTCAGTATTGTACGTACTAATAATCAATGGTGCCTTGACGTTTAATAAATATGATTTCAGCCTTTGAACAAGTATATTGAGTTTTTCAGAGCTGATAGAATTAACGAGAAAGGGCGTTTTGTTTAACGAGAGAACACTGGCGCAAACTGAACAACTATTTTTGTAAATTTTAAAATGTTTGGTGTTACATAAATTTCATCTTCTCATGACATCGATTAAATAGTTCACTTTAATCTATATAGTTTAACGAAAATCGATATCCTTTCTTTACCTGCATAAAACCATATACATATAATATTTTCCGTCTTTATTAGTTATGAAATAATAATATTCTGTATGCAAATAATGGACATTGGATTCAGATCTTAAACAACTCAGAACTATATTACATCATTTCACATATTAATGTCAATACAACTATTCACGAAATACAAAATAGGGTTGATATTTGTATATTTGTCACGTTTTGTACAACCATAAATACATTGTTACGATGAGCAGCGCCTTCATCACTCGATTAAATATAACATATAACTCTCAGTGCATTAAAACAAGAATATAATTACATATATCTCATGCTTCAAGTTCGAATATCAGAAATTACTTCAATTAGTCTGTCCTCGGTTAAAGCCTTCTCGATCAATCCATAACTGCCGGGGTCGTACGAAGATGGCGAGTCTCCTGCCCAGTGTCCCCCTGACCCCAGACCTCCCTCCACCCTCCCGGGGGAAAGTACCAAAGCGAGTGTTTAATTTAAATCATGGCATCATTAAATCACCCTTACAACCAGCATCTGGTCTCATGTCTCGTGTACATGGGGAAGTGTCAAGCACTGTAACACAAATGATTTATATACAGTGGATCTACGAGTCGTACCAAGGCACGAGAAAGAAACATTACTTTCACACTTACATTAATGTACAGGTTGGTCGGTTTGTTGTTTAACGCCGCACTCAGCAATATTCCAGCTATATGGCGGCGGTCTGTAAATAATTGAGTCTTGACCAGACAAAATATAAAGGTCTGCTTGGGTTACCTTTGCTGAGAATAGGTTGTTTGTACGGTCAAATAGTCATGTGATGGTCATTCGTGTCTTAGTATTAATATTAACATTGAAGAAACATTCAATTATATTTAACCTAATGCTTGACATATTATTGTGAAATACATATGTTATACACAGATGTTTACTCAAGATTTGCATCTCTCTTGACTTTAATACCAAGTAACTGCATTTTATCTTTTTTATCTTTATAATAAACATCCCCGTATAAGTCAGGAATGTTGTTCCTCCCTTGGGGTTACAACATGAGCAATAAAAACGGTTCACTTAGTAGCGAGAAAATCTACACAAGTGTCTCAGCATAAACAAGGCTTAAAGCTTGACGTACACAGAGATAACATTTACAAACTACGTTATATCATGTTTATGCGTTATGATAATAAACTGTTGTTTTCATTTTGTATTATTAGTGTAGCGTAGAATTCAAGACGCTATGATATTGAAACCCCAAACCTCAAACTCCTCTAAACAGCTGATTGAGATATTTTGTTTGTTGAGTTTGATTATAAAAATAATAATAAATATTGAAGCCTGTGTCACCATTATAACATCATTCACGGGCTATGTTTAATATTTGTACAGGTTTGTCAAGATTAGATGACTGTTATCCTTATGTGCGTTTGAAGCGCAGGTGACTTCAGTAGCATGTAATGCAAATTGAAATTTCTTAAATTAAATCTTGGGTGAAATATAACCAGTGTCATGTGACCCTAAGTATATGTCAACACTCACAGGGGATAATCCCTTTATCAAATGTACTTAAAATCCTCCAAATATTTTCCAGCCACCGGCCCCATTTACTCCGTACGACCCCGCCTCCTACAAATAGCAGTAACGCTGTACGTAAATCTGTCACTACAAAAGCCCCCGTAGAGAACTGTTGGTTAGCATCATGCGAATTTGGAATGAGATTATTTTCTCTCTTTCTTACCCAGAATTCCTTTGACCCCAATATATCATAACAAATTCACACATTTTCTACAATTTTTAGTTCATTTTTCACTTGAGCGACTTCCTTGATAACTTTTTATTCCCAAACAGGCCATATTATTTACGGAACTAGACCAGTTTGTTGAATCGTTATTTACACCAAGTCCTTATCTCCTATCAGGAAGCCTTGAAGCTCAATCAGAGATCATTCACTTTACTGGGAACTGTCTTCTTCATTCCTCTGAACTTCTACACAGTACTCTGTGATTTGAATGTAAAGAGAGCAAAGCAGTTGAGGAATTAGCCCCGTTTCAACTTCTTCCACGGACCGAGCAGGAAGGGAGTTTGTTAAGGGGAGACAACCTCTGCCGCACTGCTGTCTTAGCATGTGAACCTTCCGAGACGACAAAAAACCGTGAAGTGAACCAGTTTGATAATAAAAACCGCAATTACAAATTTAACGTTTTTCTTCGCAATATGGCTGTGAAAGGGAATCTTGTTAATACATTCTGCGCATCATTTTGTAATACTTCGCCAGCAATACATTTTCCTCCCTTGAAAGTATTTTCATAGAGCATCTCGGTAACACTTGTTTCATTGTGTGAATATTTTCATTGACTGTTAGTGTAAGCGGGGAACCTCGCCATTCAGATTAACACAGTGAGGCGTTATAACCCGGTTGATAAGTCCCCCAAAAGGGTACAACGGCTTGTCAGTACTCCAGGCATGAAACCACGGAGCGGACAAGCGTTCTCGCATCAACATCCCGTCTCTCGCTGATCGCCATTCAGACTCACTGTAAAGGTATTAGCCAATATTAGCAACTTTAAGAGAGAGGACCTTTTTATTTTGTTTAGCTACCGTCCACTTGAGTTGAGAATAGCTCGCGGGAGTTTGCGCGTACAATTAACACCTGAATTGCAAAAGACAAGATCATGGGCTTGATTTAGACATGGGAATTTCGCCACTTGTCATCACAATAGACATGCCCTCTTGCCTCCTCATCTACGTCTAATCTATTAGCATTTACTTTATTTAACACCAATTCCATTACAAGGTGTGATTATTCTATAGAGGCAATGTACAGCTTGCCACAAGGGTGTGAATAAAGCGAAGGGGGAGGGGGACAGAGCACATTACGGGGGATCGCTCGACACGATACAAACCTCTTGGTCTACCGCGGTCCCTTCTCTTCTCACAGAATTCGTCTTTTCAAGTATGAAATTGAAATTGTGGCAGATATTTGTCATCCACGTCGACTATTCATCATCCGATGATTGCCTCGAATTAAGTGTGTATCCCCTCGCGATCAGATGTAAGATGCTATAATGAGCAGCAGAAATGCGATTTCCCCTAGTCCGCTTTGTGTAGATCTACCATTAAACCTACGTCCCATAGTAATTATGGCGGATATGTGGAAACGAAATACACATACCAGGTAGGTATGTAGCACCTGTAATTACCGTGCCGATGAACAGGTATCACTACAACTGAAGATACTACTTAAATACCACTGCAGTCTATTGGGACGAAAAATAATATTGCATTCCAAATCCATGTTAATCTTGCCGGGTTTGCAAATATTCAATATTGTCCAGTTGGAGCAAAATCCTATTGAAGATATTTGTTGTTTTATATATTGAAAGTTACAGTTTTGCTTTCAGATTGTCAAATCTTCCAGGTTCTCGTATTAAAGGTTCAAGACATGAATCTGTTATTCATTTATGATAATATTTATGTTGTTATTGATAGATTCAGCATCAAAAGAAGCATATTATTTTGGGGATAACAGGCTTTTTTTTGTAAATTCAGGTATAAATAAATTCTATGATATAGATTTGTTACAAGAAATCCTTTCCAGATGTTATGAATCATAATTATTTGCCTATATATCTTCCTATTAAAATTGCAATTGTTTATATGTAAATATTAAGAGACATTTGCACAACCTGAAAAATATCGCGACCTGCAAAATAGACTGACGTACAAAAGAAAGTATACACCTGGTGTTTTGGGATTATTTGAAAAGTGTTGTGATTTTGACTGGCAACTTTGCAATTGGGCACGATATCTGTGGTGTTTTGGCAACATATTAGGAAAGTCTGTGACTTATATATCACTGTAAAAACTCCTTTCAAAACATTTACGTCGCTCTTTGGAAAGTAATCCCAAAGCACCAGGTGTGTATATCGTACGTCAGTTTATCCGCTATACAGGTCACTCGTAATGTTAAACTTCTTACCTGTCACGTAAATACAGATGTCCCTGTCTTGATGTTCACCTACGTATATTTATGTATATTTTTGTTTTTAAAACTGCTGGCAAGATGTTCTTCAAGGTATATGAATTTCACA